GAGAGAGAATGAAACACAAATACTTTATGACTTGACCAAGAACTAAGGGAAGAACTTCAGGGCGGCAAAAGTTGTTTGGACAACTATGTTTTGTTTTTAAAGGGATAACCTGTAGCAATGGAGCCTAATCCTATGCCTTCAACCATTTAAGGCATCCTCACTAAGTTCAATGGGGCTAACCCTCAAGTAGACATACGATGCGCAAGAGGATTCATTAGTCAGAAAATGTTCAAGTGGAATTCACTGTTGGTCCCCGGTGCTATCGTTCTGACAGCTCACCGCAAGCTGGCAGTGCCACCCTGCGCGTGTCTACTCTAAAGTAAGCTCTTACTCTCAGGAGGACGGTTAAGTCCCCTGGTATCTCCCGCGGTGTGAGAGGCCACGGACATCCTTAAGGTAAGTAGCGTTTGGTGCTTCCTCTCGCCCACCCACGCCTCTCTCTTCTTCTGCTGGGCGCCATCGCTACCCCGGAAAGCCAGCGATTCGCATTTCAGGATGCCAGCGTCCCATTTCAGTGCAAACGAGCCGCACGTTATCACTTGATCGGATTCTCAAGGGAGACTTTTTATTCCCCACCTCCTTCGCCGGAAAAACGTCTTTCTCAAGGTTGCCCTCCTCCCCATTCCCATCACCCTTCTTCCCTTCCTCTTCTAAGTGATCAGTCATTTATTCCCCCCCCCCCCCCCCCCCCCCCCCCCCCTCCCCCCCCTCTTTGCCAATTGACGTTGTTTTTTCCCCCCCCCCCCCCCGCATCGCATTTCACACGACGGGTCCTTTGGGAATGCAAGGAGTTGGGAGACGCAGCAAACACGCGGCCGACCGCCTCCGCCCCCCCCCCCGAAGACGGCTCCCCTCCCCTCCCCGCTAGCCCCGCCCTCCCTCTTCTTTAATAGCCGCCCTTTCTTTCGGCAACTCTCAGGTTACTTGGTGAAGTGCGCGCTCCGACTTCGAGCCTGCCTTTTTTGTTGTTTGTTTCTCCCTCTTCTCCGCCTCGCCGCCGGAGCCACCCTGCGCCGGCGATTGGATTGGGCAGCGGGCCGCGTCTTCCTGACACCGCATCTCGCGGAGAGGGCTGGCGGAGGACGACGCGTTGCAACAGATGGTTGGGGTTAGTGCGTGTCATCACGTCCGAGTGGGGATTAGGACAGCCGAGAGCAGCCGAACTGGAGCTGTGTGGTCTCCTCTGCCCAAGTTAAGCAGAAAAGGTGCCCCTCCCTCCCTCTCTCCCTCCCTCTCTCTCTCTCCTTCTCCCCCCCCCCCCCGGTCCGTATTGTTCTCCCCTTTAGCGCGGGGAGGGCGGCGTGGGCGGGAGCGCAAAAGAGGACGCCTTTCTCACCGCAGCAGAAAGCCGCGGGTCGCCAGGTAAAAAGAGAGGATTCTCCCTCCCCTCCTTGCCGCCTCCCATCCTGCTTCTGGCTGGAATGCATAGTCCACTTGTCAAAGCCAGTTGCTGCTGCCTTATCAATGCTGCTATTGTACAGCTGACAGATAACAGTAGGCAAAGTTTGGTGCCTCCTGCCCGTCCGCCCTCCCGAAAGCACTGCGAGGTCACGCTCGGGAAGGTGCCGATTAGGAAAGCTCTTGCCGGGCGCGGGGACAGGACGGGTTCGCCGGGATGTTTAAATGCCCCTCGCGCGCGCAGCCCTCCCCACTTCTCCGTCCGTCCGTCCGTCCGTCCGTCCGTCTCGCTAGTTCGGGTGCTAAGCTCCCTTCCTCAGAATACGAGCGGGTGATGACATGGACATTTAGATGACTCCGGTGGCAGTTCTTTCAAGTTGACGTGCTTATTTTTTTTTTTTTTCTTTCAATGCCCCCCACCCCCAAAACAGACGTTTTGGAAGGAACTCCATCCTCACTTCATGGTTGGAGAAGGGTCTGGCGAGGTGTCCATTGGTAACTGCAGGGTGGCGGGTTGTGCTCATTTTGGCTTCTTGTGAGTACACATGCTCCGCCAGGGTCTTCTGTAATTTCTGGGGAGGGCTCCCTTTCTGGAGAAGCTGCGCTAGGCCGAGGGACGTCGATGATTTGGCCAAGCTTCCGCATGGATTTTCCAGTGGGGGTGAGAGAGGCAGAAGAAAGCAACAGCCTAGCAAACGCGGAGAAGCTGCCTTCGCAGCTGTGGCACAGCAGATGGATGTAATTCATTTGCAGGTCTGTTTGTGAAAGTTTTACGAGTCGCTGAAAACTAAGTAGCATCACCATAACGGATCATTAAAGTCTCGCTGTATTTATAGATTCTAAGCAGGCTATCTGAAGTGTTAATTAAATTTGAAAGAGGTTTCTCTCTTCTTTTTCTTTTCATGGACGGGGAAGGTAAAATAAGCAGAGGCTTAAAATTGCTTCCTCTGCATTTTCACCACCACTCACAGGGTGATCCTATGTGCATTTCTCTCATGCAAACCCCAGGATAGGGGTTGCTGCCTAGAAAATGTTGTAAGGATTCCATCCTTCATTAAAAGCACATCGAGGGGGGTGGGGAGCACCAAAGATTTAATTGGACATACACATGCATAGGATGGGGAAACGGCTTGGTTCCAACTCCTACTGAGGATGGGGGAAGGGAGAGAAAGAGAAGTTCTCCAAATTGGTTCTAATGTTTGTTGATGAGGAGTATTAGAAGTATCAGTCTTCCCCAACTTGGTGCCCTCCAGCAGTTCCCACTTCAGTCCACATGAGCCAACAGCTAGCTGGATGTGGGTTTATGGGAGCTGGGGTACCAAGCTGGAGAAGGCTGCCAGTGTGTGTGTGTGTGTGTGTGTGTGTGTGTGTGTGTGTGTGTGTGTGTGAGAGAGAGAGAGAGAGAGAGAGAGAGAGAGAGAGAGAGAGAGAGAGAGAGAATGAATTGCCCACAATGTTTTGCACTTGACTCTTGCATTGCTCTCAAGTTTTGCAGGTGGGAAATTCTGTAAATGCTACACTAAGCATAATCCTTTCTGAAACAGGATCTGAGCAGGTAGAATGAAGGGGGTTCTGTTGATCATCCTGTGTTTCTGGCACTTAACTGTGTTCAAATTGAACACGTTTTAGCATTCTCCTGTGCACCACTCTCATCCTGGGCCACTAACAGTCTGTTCAGCTGCGTTCCAGATTATACTTGGCTTTGATTCTCAAGTCTGCACCTCTGCAAGAAAGCATCCTTCTAAATAATCCCTCTGGCACTTACCAAATAAAAGTATTAGTGAACTGCTAATTAGACTGGGTGTTAAATGACTAAATTGAAGTATTTTGATTTTCCACTCCACTCCATGCTCCCAAGAAGAGATGGAAACTTTCGCAGATATTTTGCTGCCAGAAAGGAATACCACATGCAAATGGGGGTAAATTTGACAAGAGCTCAGAGGCAATGCCTTCCCATCAGCAGGAAAAAGGGACAAATTGCAAGATTCTCTCAGGAAACTTGTCTCCATGAGGATGTAAGGTTTGGCAACATGTAATAAAGGGAAGGTGCAGCAGTGTCAAGAATGTCAACATGCGAAGTCTGTGTGTGTGTGTGTGTGTGTGTGTGTGCGCGCGCTCACCACAGGATAATAGTAGGCTGTGAGTATAATTATTAGGCTGCTTCCTGCTGTCTTGCTGTATTTCAGAGAAGTGATCTACTACTTGATTCTGTCTAAGTTTACTCCAGAAGTAGGTCACAGTGAATTTAATAAGACTTATCTGAGGGTAAGTGTGCATAGGATGGCAGCCTTAAGGTGCAACTCTACACATGTTCAGACATGCTGATTGGAGAATACTGGGAGTTGTAGGGCTTTTCTGTCTAAACATGCATATGGTTTTGATCTCAAAGTTCTTGAAAAGTCAACACAAATCTGGGGACCTATGTTCTTGTTTGACAAGAAGGAGATGGGGAAATAGAGCAAGGATATGCAATCATGTTCTTCATGCATCAGTTGGCTTGATGGGAATGTCTTTAAAAAAAGACAATGCCCTGAAGCTGGTCCAGCTCTTTTTGTTGAGCCATAATCAACTGTTCCAGATGGTAAATGTTCAAAGGAATATTTATGGCTACTGCTGCATACCTCAGGTTGATATTTGGTTTCTTCCTGACAGCCCTTGTGCTAGGTACACACACATGAAGTTCCCATTAGCAACTCAACAGTTGTCAAACTTTTCAGAGCCTAAAGGATGTTGAATAGTGAGACTATCTAAAGGACAAGAAAAAAGGAACATTTCCAGAGGTAGGGAGAACCACTATAGCTGGTGAATGGTCAGTATGCAGAAAGAGTTTACAGTCTTTATTAAATAGACATTATTATTGTGCATCTATCTTTTGGAATGGCATAGCTTTACAGAAAGTGGAATAATAGCAAGAGCCAATATGGTAGAGCTGCTAGAATGTCAGGTCTGGACCCAAAAGCTTTCAAATCACCTGCTCTTGGCCAAGTTGTCTTCACACTCTTTCTAACCTAGGCTTATATCAAGAACAATATACTTTATAGTGTTGTAAAGCCATATAGGAAGTTTGCTTGGTATAATTTGGTATAAATTATATCCTGGGTCAACCTACCTCAGAGTTGTCTGTTCCAGCCTCCCCAACCTGGTGCCTTCCAGATGTTTTAGACTTCAATTCCCAACAGTCTCAGCTAACATGACCACCAGTCAGGAATTCTGGCAGTTGTAGTTCAAAACATCTGGAGAACATCAGGGAGGGAAAAGCTGGTCTAGGGTTTCCAACGGGTCTTTCCCCACCTTTCCTGGAAATGCCTTATAAAGTGAGGATAAACTCCTTGGAGATAGGGTGGGTTACAAATGCATGTTAGTGGAGAGTTCATGGTTGCTGAACAGAAAAAACAAATCTTAGGCTGTATTTGTTTGCCTGAAGTATTTTCCCTAATGATCCCACACCAGATTTCAGATGTAGAAATGGAATTTCATTAAACTAAGCAACATTATATGCTTTGATCCAGTAAGTTTGCAATCCTAGGACTTTTTCCCTGTCTAAACATGCATAGGATTATACTTCTTTCCAGCCTACACACCCCTCCCCTCTGGTCAGGCAAATGGCAGGGAACGCAATAACTTGTTTGAGACTGATGTAGATTGGCTTAATTATGTCTAAGTCTATTACCTGACTGGGGTTTTCTTCTGTTGGTACTTCAAAGTCAAGGTAGGTAAGATTATTTAACTCATGATACGTAACCGTTTGTGTGATGCTTTGATTGGAGCTTCTATAAATTATTATTATCAATTTATTCTAGTGCACCTATTTAAGCAGAAAATATTCATAAAAGCTGAAATAGATAAACATGTTGGAAGATATGGAGCAGATCCTGAATGCATTGCACTTGAAATCATATCTTGCCTTATTCTACTTGTTGCCTCACCCATTCTGAAAAACTTGAGGGACTCTTATTTGGAGTTTCTATAGTTTGAAATATTAGCAGATATTGGGATAACAGTGATATCAAATTGTGGCTTTCATTCTGGACAGGAATCAGTGAAAACAGATTGTGAAACATGCTGAGATGGTGTGGGATAGTATTTCCAAATATGGAAGGCATTACGAACGAACACTTTTGCAGGAAGTTAGGCATCTATGGAAAGAATGATTTTTGAAGGATTTTCAAATATTGTTCTGACTAGGTCATTCATTGCAAAGGATTTTGGAGCTTGTCATCAAGGTTTTGAGTCTTATGTAACACAGAATCATAGCACTGTCTAGGCATATCAACTTTTGTTTGTTTTTAACAGTATTTCTGTGTTGTACTGATAAGACAAATTAGAACCAGATGAAGCTGGATTCTTGGTTATAATTTTTCATGACTTTCACGATATAAGAAGTTCTTTTTGATGCCCAGAGATTTGTACATGTGGAAACTGATGGTTTTACTGTTTACAGTTCTCCAAGTCTCACGATCTCATGAACTGTACAACTCTCCACTTGTAAATGGGGTTTCTGTGCAGCTGCACTTTTCCAGCCAAAAGCTATGTTAGAAGACTTTTGCAATTCATCTCCAAATTTTGCAGCAGCAGTAGCATCATCCATAATAGCAAGGCATCATTGTAGAATAACTTCTGTAGTTTTGATCCTACAAACTTGATGAAAGGAGTAGCAAATGGCATGAAGTTGTTAATCTGCAGAAATGGTTATTCAACCAAAGGTTATTA